TATTGTCATAGAGTGTCCCAGTCTTTGGTTTGAATTTTCCTTTGATTTTCCATATCTTGTGAAATAGTTCTTTCTGTTATTGTTTTCTATTTCTCTGCATTGGTCATTGTAGTAATTTTCTTTTTCTTTCCGCACAAGCCATTGTACTGTTGCATTGATAATTCTTAGTTTGTTCCTATCTCTCTTTTGTTTTTGTTCTCTTCTTTTCTTTACTGCTTGTAGTGTTTTTTCTGTCATCCATTTTTTTCTCTTTCTTTTTATTTATTGAAAGGGTCTGTCTGCATACTTCTTTTATTATGTCCCTGGTTTCAGACCATGGTTCCTTGGTCTGTTATGCTTAGCAATGTGAATCTGTTTCTTATGTTGTCAGTAAATTCTGTTCAGATATTATTCAGATCATATTTTGGTATAATCACTGGTTTTGTTTTCTTCTTGAGTCTTACTCTTATTTTTGGTATGAGTAATTCGTGATCTGTGCCACAGTCTGCGCCTAGTCAAGTCTTGGCCATCAGTATAGGGTTCCTCCATCATTTACTTCTGATTATATAATCTATTTGATTTTTGTGTTGACCATCTGGTGGTGTCCATATGTGTAGCCTTCTTTCTGATTGTATGAAAAATGAAATGCTGTCCTTCCCTTATGCATTTATCTTATGATGTTAAATAATAATGCAATGTAACTACTTGAAACTAGCTGCTCTGGCAAAACATGTGCATCTGTTTTTACAGATCGACATTCAAAACATGCAATCCCACTTTTCAGCAAGGTGAAGAATATCTTCAGAAAACATGGCGAAAGCTTTTGCACATTCCCTAAAGGTGTCAAACTCAGCAACACTTTTCTTTCTTCTGCTGAAACATTTATCGTTGCTACTGCAATCCCAGAGCCACTTAGTTTAGAATGGATCCTTTGACTTTGGGGAAGACTACTCAACTCAGTATAGCTCTAAAGAAGTGGAAGATCCAGCAATATAGCTTTTGTCAGCTCTTGCCAGTTGTTATTTCCTTCCCACTTTTGGAATACTAGGGCTCTTCCAAAGTTCATTTTGCTGTTTTTAAATGGGTTATTGCTTGTCAAGTTGGTCCTCCTTGGGTTAGATGGAATTTTCTCCTTTTAAAATGTTATTTTTATTATAATCATAATTATAATGCAAAAGTGCTATTTCGTTGACACCCTATAGCACTACAACTCCAAAAGGAAAGGCAGAGGATACGCTTTTTTGTTCTATTATGCGTCAGAATTAAAAAGAAACCCGCTTGATGGTGGAGATAAAAGGTTGCAGCTGGTACCAGAAGTTGCCAGAAAATATTCCTGGGCAACAGAAAAGTTGTTTGGATATTTTAAAACCAAGGAGAGGAGGAACTAAACCAATAAATGTTGCAACCTTCTAAAATATTTGCCCCATCTGGAAGAGCACTTGGGCTAACCAGT